ACAAACAAAAAAGTTCCCCAACCCCTCTTCCTAAAACAGATGCTGCTTCCCTTTGCCCCTTGGAAGATTTATAAGCCAGAGACAACTCCGCTTAATCCTTCTTGAAGGCAACATTTCCAGCAGATAGTTCATTGCACTAAAAAAGTCACCAGTAACCACTGAAACAGATTCAAGAAATTCGAGGGTTGCAGGTAAAACTAACCAACCTACTTGAGAAACAAGTTGGTTTTATAACAGAAAGGATAGTATCAGACCAGCGCTAGAGAAAGCTTGGTCTACTACTTCAGAAGACCTGTGTTTAACTTCACCAGAGAGGAAGGCATTCGGTGCTTTCATGGCTGGAATGAGCAGGTGAAGGTTTTTTCAAATGTACACCCCAAAGTCAAAAAAATGCAAGCAAGGTCAGGAATCTCATTTCTAAGCTGCAGGAATCTAATGGAAGGGAGGGGTTTTATTTGTTGTTGCTGTTTCTGTCTTTTCACCATTTAACTGCAACCTCAGCTTTCAGAAAACCAAGGGAATAAGGTGTTTGCACAGACGATGCTCCTCTGTCCAGCGCCCAGCCTTCAGCTTGCCCATACGGACTCGCTGTGCCCTTCTATTAGCAAAGCCAGGCAGGTAATAATAGCGAATAAAAAGCCTATTCGACGAAGCACTGGCTCCTTCTCAAGTAAAGTAGAGTACCACTACAGCATGAATGACTCAATCATCTACTCGAGAGCTATTACTAGCAGCGATGAAGCAATGTTAATTGGATAATGGCCTGCTGCCAGCTAATATTGGCATGACCTACAATACCCCTGGCTGACAGCCGTGTCTCTCTCTCTCTCACACCTTTTTTTGTAATCTGGATGGGAAGTGGAAACCATTAAAAAAGCCTCATAAGTGCCATTTAACTTCTTATCATGAATTAAAAGCTTAATTAAGTGCCTTGTTAAAGGAAGGAAGACCAGTTTTCGTGATTAAATAAAACAAAACAACAGTTAGGGGTATGGAGTGAATGAGTAACTTTACAGCTTAAAACTCAGCTCTTGGAAAATATTAATTTTGGGTTGCATTTAACAGCAGCTGCTAGAGGAAAACTGCACAATTGCTGAAAAATACCCTAGGTGAAAAGCAGGCAAGGCTCTTGTTGTTTACCAAAAACTGCAAATGAAGAGAAAAGCGTAGAAGTTAAGAGCTAACGGGGTCCTTTTTATTAGCTGTAGGCAGCTGACACACTCCGTTCCTCTAACTCTGCTCTGGGGGCTGATACTTCACACACCGCGGTCACATCTCAGCCCTTGTTATTACGTGGCTGTTTTTCCACGCGCTTATCTACACACTAAAATACGTTGCTTTAACAAAAGGTGTAGTACGAGATCAAATTAACAAGGCTAGTACCAAAGGGTTTATGGAAACTTTTCAATCAGTGCAGAATTAGCTCTGTACTGACTGAGTTTAAGTTGATTAGAAAAAGGTTTGAACTGAGGCACATTAAGTCACACCTGAACTGACCTGAAATGTCTAACACCAGGTTTTGCAGCAGTTTAAAACCCTGTAAGTTCAACTAGTCTCAATTCTGTGTGTGCACAATGTCTCCCTACTGAAATCACTGGCGTGTCATAAAGACTGCTCTCACTTGTAATCGGAGATAAACAAGAAATAATGTAAAAAACATCTGTTCACTGTTTAGCTAGACAACAGTTAACAATGTCTGGATGCCAGATTAACAAACAGACCCCAACATGCTATGAAGGAAAAAAAAAAGTCTGCAATTCAGACTTCAGAGGCAGATTTATTGTTTTGAATAATCAAAAATAAGTTCTTTTGTTTTGATGTTAAGCTCCCTCACACCAACATTACATGAGTGTAAAAGCTTTATATATAAAGCTTTATCCAGCTCCAACATCAAACCTTTGAGAAATAATAATAATAATGCCCCTTCTCCACAATTGCATACTTCAGCAGTTTTCAAATCACACTAGAATTTAAAATGCAATGCTTGCATGGTTGACTTAAAAATATTTTTGTTAATTTAGGAGCAATCGTCACCTTTGGAAAAGTTTTGAACTGTGGAGACTATATTTAAAAACGATTTTCAATCTCTGTTTTTCTATAACAAGTATATGCCAACATAAATTGTCTCTAAGCCTGAAAAAAGTATTGGCTCAGGACATTAACTTTCAATTTTTGTTTGAAATTTTTCCACTAGAGGAAAAACCCCCTACATGACAGATTAAGTCAGTTTTCACAGATACCTTTAGAAATGGGCTGCCAGAGCTCTGCAGACCACGGACTGAAAACAATAGCCTTGGGAAGAGCCGTTAGCTTGTGAACTTAAAAAGACCCCGATAACTTCTTTTAATGCAGTATAACTAAGATGGTTTTTCCGCTACCCTATCAGCTCTTAAAAACCAGGAGTGTTTCAGTTCCTTTCGTGGGGAGCTCCGACACTGTTCTTCGTTGGAGGCACTTCCCATATCTATGCACGGGCACCTACCAAAGCGCCCAGCACTCTGAAGCACAGCAACTCCAGAAGCAGAGATGTGCACCTTAACCAAGGAATAACAGAAATATCGAAGTGCACCAGGCAGCTCTCTTTACCCCAAGTGACTAGCATTTGTGAGGAAATTATTTAACTGGCCACCTCACATATAGCTATTCAAATAAAGTAGCCACCGAGCAAATTAGATTCAGTGCAGTTAACAGCAATTAATTTGCGTGTGGAAAATATCTGTACAAGTAAGCACTGGTAACTGTAGGTATCTTTTTTAATAGGCTAAGAGAGTTCTTTTCCAGGATAAGAAAGGTAAAGCCCTGGCGCTCTGCAACTAATAGAAGCACGTGGCAAAATAACAGTGGTGGTCTTAGGTGAAGCATGACAATTTCAGAGTACTGGGAAAAACCTTAAGAACTAGATTCACTGCTTCTGCAAATCCATGGACTTCACTGGAGCTGCAACAGCAGCCAGTGTAACCCTAAGTCACTAAAGCTTTTTGATCTTTCATTGAGATATATTATAAAACGTAAAACTCCAATACTTCATTTATCCAAAGGAGATTCACTTAAATAGAAATCATTTATGGTTGGACTGGAGGAATTTTTTTTACGTAGTATCTCATATAGAACACACAGAAAGACAAACCTTTGTGTTTTAAAGCTTTAGTGTCATATGAACATAGGACTGGGTCACCAAGTGCAGACACACGATCCCTCCACCACCCTGCTCCTCCCACTGGCCTGCGGCTCAGCACCTCACCGCTGCTGTGATTAGAAATCTTCTAATTTCCGATCTACTTTTACTAAAAGCCAGTTGAAACCACTCAATGCTTGTGTCAACACTGTCTTTTAGTATTAAAGAGAAACTCTTCCTCTCAGCCGTTTCATCTCCTCTGCCTACATAGAACTGTAGCATGTCGCAGTCATCACGCCAGCAGTATGGACCTGCCATAGTCTTGTCTCCTCCTCCTTTAGGCCAGGCTCCTTCTTCTGAACATTTCAGTCACTCTTGTATATGCTTATTATTTGAATTTCAATTATTTTTCTTTATCCAACAGGACCTGAATCATACATGGAGGTCTCACTAAGGCTTTGTAGAAGAGCGCTGATACTCTCCTGCCTCTTCGTACCTGTGCACCCCTGGGCATGTTTTGTCACCTCTCTGCTCCTGCCCTTGCTTTGCAATGTGAAAGCTATGCGACACTGACTGAGACTCGATTCTTCCACTGGAAATTATTAGTGGACACTGCAGAATCATAGTGCGCATCCTAGCACGACCTCTGCGTTATCTCTAAACTCCTATGCAAAATGTCTGGGTTGAAATTTCTTCATGAGTAATATTCAGTGTCAAGACTCATGAAGTCACACCCGGTGACCTACTTCTTCTAATGCTCTCCAACTTGTGCCGTGACAACATCACGACGACGCTGAAGTCTCTGGAGAGCTAAACCAGAGGGGGAAAAACGGTGTGTGACACTTCAGGACCTGTCATCATTTAAAAACACACGGTGCTTCTTCATGGGCGTTAAGCAAATGATGGTGAAAACCCCTCTGTTTGCCAGAGTACCTTCCCACTGAGCGACTGCCCTCCTGTGCCCTGCGTACATCGCCACCCTTCTCGTGCTGCCCGTCCCAGCTGGAGATGCCGGGCAGGCAGTGCCGAGGTGGCAGGTGACAGCAGCCCTGGCCAGCAGGCACACATCTCCCCTCTGTGGGCAGCAAAGCCACTGGTGTGCCCTACGGTAGCTGTGCTGTCACGGCCATATGGCTGTGAGGAAATTACAGTGGGGGTGGAAGCCAGCCAGTAAGATTTTGTGGTAAAATAAACTAAACTTTCCAGTGAGGTATGTATTTTCTACGTCCCTTGGCTTCCTGCTGTAGGAGCCATGCCGCAGGAGAAAAACCAAAAGGCAGACCGTCTTCATGGTTCCTTGGTGGAAAACATGCGGGCTGAAGCACTTAAATCCCAAACTCGACGTGAGGGGAGACATGAGGAAGCAAGGCTGAATGAGGTGCAGAAAAGGGGAAAGAGAACGATGACATGAGCTGCCAGAGAGGGGTGGACAGCAATGAGACTCCCAACAACATGATAGCTCCAATTATTTTTCAACAACAACAACCTGCCATCTAGCAGTCAAATCACCCCGTTCAAATTTCCTGTCTGGAAGAGCAGAAGAATATCAAGGTCCTGATAATGCCCTGAACGAGGCTAGGTAATTAAGCGTTTGGGTACGACTCCCATGGCAGTGGCGAGAAAGGCGAGCTGAAGCATCTTAAAGCTTTGCTGCCGCAACCGTTAGTAGTTACTGCTGGTGAGGAAGGGTGGCGTGAACATGTCCATCCTTCAGTGATTCAAAACCCACCCAAACACAAAAACCAAATCCAGAGCCATGCTGGCATAGGCTCTGACACCCATGACACACTCCCCTTGGCCTCCTTAGTGTACCGTGGAGGTCTTCCTCACGGCATGGGATGGAGGGGGCTCGTGTTTATGGCAGGGGCATGGTGACATACTATACCTCTTCCGGCAGGCAGACCACCAGGTCATTTTCCGTCTGCCCTACCAACGCCTGCAAGAAGTACTCGCTGCAGGCAGCCAGCACAGCCCGGTGGGCGCGGAACTCCTTCCCCTCCACGATCAGCGTCACGTCACAGAGAATGTCCTGCTTCCGCTGGTCATTTAAGCAGAGGAGAATATTGGTACAGTGCACCGTTGACTCATACACATACATGGGGGAGTCAGTCTTCTCATCCACAGACATGCCGTTCACACCCTGCAGGGAAGAAGGGAGGAAGAAAACACAAACAAGGCGGTGAGGAGCAATGCAGCCGCCAGGTGAACGCGGCGCGGCGGGATGCTGCCCTGTTTCTGGATACCCTGGGACCACTGCCAAGCAGCCCATTTATTCTTAAATCTGAGCAAGTTGCTCGGGAAAGGTATGGGGAAGGGCGTTCGTTGCCACGGGCTTTCACTCCACCGCGCTTCGATTACCTAACCCCTCTTTGTCTTCCCCCCTCAAAACCAAAGCAGAGTTTAGATGGACTGCAAAGTGCTTTCTTTCAACCACCTACTATGCATCTACGAGTTTCGATTCAGTAGAGGCAATAACATGGGGACATGGGAAATTTTAGAAGATTTTAGCAAAAAAAGCAAGAGTGACTGTCGGGTCTTCTAATAGTGAAAAAAGGGCTTTCTGCTTGCTTCTGTTATTTTCAGATTAAGGGAAAAAACCTTCAAAACCCCAGGCTATTCTCCAGCGGACAGGCAGTGCTGTGTGTTTACACTGATGACCTCCGCCCAAGTGAAATGCAAGGTGGAACTGTACCCGACAAAGACAAGCCACTAACTACAGCGACCTCATCTCTCAATCAGAATTAGAACGATCTTAAGCCTTAAGCGGGGGAGAAAGATGTTTAGTGGCTTAGAAGAAATCCATTTCCAGGTATGGCTAAAGCAACACACTTTCACCAGCAGTTTTAATGTAATTTACAGAAAAGAGCCGTTTCTGCATTCCAGACCCACAGACCCAAGAAAATCCCCCAGCATGTGTGGAGGTCCAGCCCCGGGGGGCAGGGCAGCACGTGGGTGTTGGGGCCACTCCTGCCTGCAGATGTCTCCCCCTCCTGACAGCAAAGCAGAGGTTGGAAGGATGTAAGACACCCGTTACAACTGTCTGAGCTAGGAAGTTCCCTGCCTGCTGTTCTGCACTTTCTGCAACCAGCATCGCCTTTGAACATGGGAATCGGACTTGCAGTGGTGGTGGTGGGTCAGCTTCCCCCAACACCCAACACTGCATGACCCCCCCTTTGCACTTGGACACACTGAAGTAATTCTTCTCTTACCCAAAACTTTCTGCCCAGCACCAGACTGAATTCTCTTTGCGTTATTTTCCTATTTCAATTTCTCTGAGTAGAAAACTGTAAAAGCCTGCGCTGTGTCTGAACACACTAGGTACCCCAAAACAAACCGAACATACTTGGTTTAAGGCTTACATGGGAAAAAGGATTATTTGCACGTATTCTATCTGCTGCCGAAAGGAAAGTCGTACAAACACACAAACTTCAAGTATTTTAAGGAATTATTTTTCCAAACAACAACCGCCTTCTGAGAGATAAGATTCAGAGACATACAGGGCTAAGGGCGACAGGCAGAGGTATTTTGGTATAATGCTGCTGCACTGCAAATATCTGACCACTGCAGAAAGTGGAAGCAAAATTCCTCCTCTGCTACTTTTTAACGTGGTTCTTTGCAGCATTTTCCTTTGCTAGTACAATATACAGGTACACATGCCGGCACAACATGACTTCAAACTATTTCTCTTGCCATGCGTTCAAACCAGGGTACCATTTTCCTACAGTGTGATTTGAAAGATACTAATAATCTAGACAAAAATGGACATAAGAGGACCTGCTTGTTACTTGCACAAGTATCTACTAGACTTCTCAAAAAGAACTCCATCTGCCCACCTTTAGAGGAGTATTTTTAAGCTAGTGGCTGTGATGACTCTTTCTGCAAAATAGGTGTTTTTGCCAATGTTACAAAACTATAGTATTACTGGAATTCTTAATGGGATGCTTGCAGCTTCTCTTTTACCGGCATTTTCAGTATTTACTGCTGACTCATGCTACGCTTCTGAGTACCCATCTGAAATGCCTACATGAACAGAAAAAAAACAACCAACCAACCCAGTATCCATTAGCCCTTCACTGACTTCATATCTAGAGAGAAGATACAAACCTGCTTATCAATCTGCACACGGGTAAGGGAGGGAGACACTGTGGGGTTTTTTATGCTACCAGTTGGATTTCTTAATCAGGAGAAAATTTCATTCTTCTTTTTTTCCCCCTCATAAATTAAGACTAATGAGAAGAATTGACAGCGATCATTTTATTAGCACTACAGTAAGGTAAAAGAGAAAATGATACTTAGCTCATCCCACTCATAGCTTTCTGTGTAACTGAACTCTGATGCTAACGATAGTGTTATATAGATGTTCTAAGTGGTCACTCTTGCGTGCTATGAAATGCAAGAGTTTACAAGAACAATCTAGTGGGAAAACCTGAGAGTTGCAAATGACAACGCAAAGGGGAAAGCGTTCATTTTTTTTTTTCTTTTTTTCCAGGCACGTCTTACGCCTGTAATGTCTCAGATGATGAAAAAATGTACAAGAAACCTGAAACCTGGCAGGTAATGAACAGAACATCAATTATATTTTCAGTGCCTTTTTTAAAAAAAACAAAAAATACTGTTTGCCTGAAATTGCAATCCTTTTTTACAGTAAAAGTGCAATTTGTGTGAATCAAACCCTGAATTACTTGGTTACTAATTAGTAATTTCCCACTTTTTAACTACAGCTCTCATCAAGTGTATTTTTTAAAAAAATTCATTGCATGCCCTGTGAAGTGCTGAAAATACCACGGTGTATTTCCCCACCGGCGAGCAAGCCTGCCTTCTATGCTAGGAAACCTGACCAATGCGGTACTGAGATGCTGGGGCTGTAAATCGCACCCTTCGCTCCGTCGGATCCCTAGCTACGCTCCTGGGAATGACCTCCACCCAGCTGCTTATATCGCCATGCTTTCCCAAGGCTCCAGCAGTCTTTAGCTACCGTTGTGACTCCAGGGGCTTCCCGAAAGCGGATCCATGCCGTGCCCCTTCCCGCAGCTGCTGAGAGCCCGCGTGGATGCCCTGGCCTGCGGCTGCAATCTCAGCCCGACACAGACTTCCCCTGGCCGTGCCCCTGGCCGCTCCAGGAAGCACCCCGAGCCCTGCATTGCGCACAGGGAAGCTGGGGCTGGGCTATGGCTCAGGACCACCTATTTATCAACTTTTAATGTTTCAACGCAAGTGATTTACGGTCTTCCCCTTTCCACGATCTGCCATCGACTGAATGACCTCCAGGCATGAGGTGTTTCCTCTCCAAGAGGGCTTTATCCTGCAGGACAGGAGCAAGATGGTGAAACCCTGCACTGGGAAGTATATTGTTCATTTTCATGGGGAAAGGGTTTAGAGTGCAAAGAGAAAAGGTCACCATAAGGCTTTGGCATGTAGTAGCAAGAAAATCAGCAGAATTAAACATTTTTTTTTCCTCTCCTTGGAAGAGAAAAGCAGGGATTGGGTATTAACTCTGAACTCTGAGGCAAGCTGGGTTGGAAGTCTTTTATACAGTGTTAATTCAAACAGCGTATTTTTTTGCTGAATTGAGTATTATGCTGAGTTTGCAGAACCTTCTTCATGGAAATCATTGTAACACACTCAGTATTTCTTCAAACCGAAGAGAGAATGTCTTAGCAAGCCTTTCTCCAGCTCAAAAGAACATGCTGTGCATTTGTTTGCATATAGGTCACCATACTGCCAGAAAAAGCCTCTTTGAAACAAAACTTTCCAGAAACTGGCACGAACTATTGTGGGCAAGGAAAGCACCACTGAAACCTCGCCAGAAAAAGTTGCTGGTAAAGTCCAGCAACTGCAGTGAAGCGAACTGGAACGTTGCTTACACGGTCCTTCCACAGCGACGGGTGGGAGATCCCACTGAGCCCTTCTGCATGGGCAGCATGGAGCGAAACCTCAGAAGACAAAAAAAATTGCTCATGGAACATCCAAATCACTTCGGTTTGCAGCATGTCGTCTCTACTGGCTGGCACTCGCCCAAAACTCTCCAGGAACTCATGAACACACTGCCTGAGCTGCTACCAAAAATACATTACCTATCACAAAAAACCAGCTCCTTCCTCACAAGACTAGAGGGCAGGCAATGTGCTGTCTGTTTTTAAAGGGAAACATTAGGGGAGAGAAAATCTTATCAAGACAGACCAGAAAGTCCTGCATCAGAACTGGGTTAATTACGTGAAAAGGTAAATCTCGATTGTGGCAGAGCTACAGAGCACTTAACCAGGCAAATTATCATCGTGACAAAGCAGCATGGCTTCTGCAAGGGGAAGTCATGTCTCTGATGGGCTCTATTAGAATTCCTGAAGTGTGTCAAATTAGCAGTGAGTAACACTGGTACATGTAATTAGTGTTGACTTTCAGAAATCCTTTGACAAAACCTTTACAAAAGGCTGCTAAAGAAGCTCAGTTGTCATAAGGTGAGAAGTTGCATCAGACTGGAAATCACTTAGGCTAAAATGTATGCAACAGAGAAGGGATGCAGGGGCAATTTTCAGCAGGTTAACAGTGAAATTCCTCCAGAAATGAAACCGCAGCAGTACCAGTGGCTCACATCTGCCTACGGCCACACCATGCAACATGCCTGAGCTCGGCTGTTCTCTGAAGCTAAAGCAGGGTTGGGCACACTTTGTACTTGGATGGCAGACTGCCTGGGCATACCGGGGTCCTAACAGCAGCCTGCCACTACCTACAGCGAGGTCATCGAGAAGATGGAGCAAGACAATGGGAGCAATTTGAAACAACAGAGATTTAGACTGGACATCAGGAAAAACTGAGGACCAGGTTGCCCAGAGAGGTTGTGTCATCTCCATCCTTGGAGGTTTTCAAGACCAGACTGGATATAGTGCTGAGCAACCTGCTCTGATCTCAGAGCTGACCTGCTTTGAGCAGGAGGTTGTGCTAGGAACCTTCTGAGGTCCTTTCCAACATGAATTATCTGATGATCCTATATTGATTAGTGACCACAGACCATGACAGGGAGACTGAAATTGATAAAATTAGTTCAAATGTCAAAGGTAATAGGGATTGCTGGGAATTTCAAAAAGACTTAATATAAAAAAGCATTAGACACTAACAAGGTGACACACTAAACCCAGGGCACTG